TATATATATATATATATGTATGTATATATATATATATATATGTATGTATATATATATATAGCATATATAAATACTAAATTAAAAATGATATAATTATTTTTTTACAACATAAAACAGTAATAATAAATTGATAGTAGATAATATAACAATTGTATTTGTGCATTAATTTTTTTAAAACATTTTTTTTCTTCTCTTTTTCACTTCTAATTATCAAAAAGTTAATAAATAATTGATGGCCTTTTTAGCCATCATTTTTTTTTAAATGAGTAACTTTTAAAAAATTAAATAAGTAAGTCATTTTTGAAATACGAACTTTTAAAGTGGAAGCCACGTTTTAAAAAAAAACTTTTTTTAAAAAAAAAATACATAAAATATTATTTTAATTAAAAAGACAGTCTCCTTTACTGCTCACGATTTATAACTTTTAAAAATAAAAAATAATATATAAAAGTCGCGTTTGAGATCACAACTTTTTTATAAAAAAGGAAAAATAAAGAAAGTGAAAATCGTGTTTGTAAAATAAATAAAAGTTGTGTTTTACAAACCCAACTTACTTATTTTAATTTTTTAAAATTTTATTCATTTCAAGAATTTTTTTTTTAAATACCTAGTAAGCAAAAAAGTCACTATTGATAGAAGATAACGTGACAAGTCTATATGTGCATATTAGAAGACGGAAATGGATAAAACCAAAATTTGTGGTGAACTAAGGATAATATCCATAGATAATATCCATATGTAGTAAAAAATTCAAATATTGTTGTTGATATGTGTACATCACGTACAGTTGGCTAATTCATAAAAAAATATCGAAGTTGATTATTAAAAACTTATTTTAGTTTTTCATATTTATGTTTTATATTTAACAATATTTTTATTCTTATTTATATTAAAATAATATTTACGAATATAGATTCATCTTTAATTATGTAACGTAGTTAGTAGACTGGAACGGGACGTTCCGGATTTGGAACAGACTGTTCCAAACTACTAAAACAATGGTGATTTAGTAGCTCATAACGGGTCCTTCTCAAACTGAAACAGGTCGTTCCAAGCTACTAAATAGGCTTATGAATCTTGGACTGAAATGGGCAGTTCTAGAATGGTTATTGTGAGTTAAATTCCACTCTAGAACGGGCCGTTCCGATTTTAGAATGGGTCGTTCTAGACGTGCCAGAACGGGCCGTTCTGGTTTCAGAACGGGCCGTTCCGAATTTGGAACGGGCCGTTCTGGCCAGTTCAGACTTCTATAAATAAAGGTTGTGGGCAATTGAGGAAAATTGAGGTTTTTAAAGAGAAAGACTCTGGGTTAGGAAGCTTGCTTTGGGTGGAATGAAGTCCCGGATTGAGCGTCCCACATCGATTAGAGATTTAAGTAGAAAGCAACCCTCACCTTCCAAGCCAGTTTTGATTATATATACATTTCTTTACATTCTTCTATCATGTATCAAATTTATGGTTTTGATTGGTGGTGCAAACCCAATAATATTAATTTGGCCACGTGTCACGATGGAGTGATCCAACGGTGAGGAGTGATTATGCGAAGGTTCTCGAGAGGGGAATTGTAGGATGTGGTGGAAGAGACTAGAATGGACTGGGACTGGCGCTCCCAAAGATTCTGGTAGAGTTAAGTTTCTGATCTCACCACCACAGAGATTAATTATTAATTATCCTCATAACAATCAATCAATAATAATTGCAAACCCACTCTTGCATTATTTCAGAATTTTTAACTAGCTACATCCTTAAACAAGATAAATAATTTTCTAGTTAAATATTTTATTTTGTTTTTCTTATTGCATAGCCTCGTCAGATTTTTAAAACATCACAAACCTTTTTTTATTTTGCCAATTTTCTGTCATAAACTAAATCCATATACTTATTACAAGACTATGAATCTAACTACATTTTTTTTTTAATTTAGGAATCCAAATTTAAAAGTCTAAAAAAAATTTGAGATTTATTGAAAATTTAACTTTTTCTCTTATAATATATAATAGATGTAAATTATTAACTTTGCTAATGGTTGATATCCGTAACAAAATTTTGCTGCTATTTATTTTAGTAGCCTCTCTTCTTTTTTCTTCTTTTTTATACCAAACGTAGAGTCTCTCTTTTAAATTATTATTTTTCTATTTTAAAAACTCAACTCTAGTATCTTACTGAATCAAGCTTAATTATGCTCCAACCAATGTATAATGTTGGTATTTTATTTTTTTAAAATAACTTGTAAGAATTTATCAAAATGTGGTGTTTAATTAATATTATCAATAAAAATAAACACTGAAGGTTTATTGATAAACACTTTTTTTTTGTGTATTGTCAGTTTTTTTTTATATTATTGATAAATAATCTGCATCCACCGTAAAAGAAATTGCACTGCTTTGTAATTATAAATTCATCACATAAATCAATTTAACATCTAATAATTTATTAGTTTTATAACAAGAAAGACCGAAAATATTAAGTATAATTTGATAAATAAACCAAGATGGGTTTTTATCGACCTAACCGAGTTGACGAACTCAACCAAAAATAAAGGACATCGACATATTAAGAAAAATTCAAGTCCTACATTAATTAGAAATTAGGTAATTGAATAAGACATAAGTGAAAAATAATTCTTACTTTACAAACTAGTTTTGTAGAGTTGAGTTAGGCTTAAATTCACTATTTTAAGATGATATCTGAGAAAAAAACTCAAGTCTTATAAATCCTAGATAGTGTGAATGGACTTTTTTCATTCACACTATCTTTAATTATATATACATTTATTTACATTCTTCTATCATGTATCAAATTTATGGTTTTGATTGGTGGTGCAAACCTAATAATATTAATTTGTCCCACATCGATTAGAGATTTAAGTAGAAAGCAACCCTCACCTTCCAAGCCAGTTTTGATTATATATACATTTCTTTACATTCTTCTATCATGTATCAAATTTATGGTTTTGATTGGTGGTGCAAACCCAATAATATTAATTTGTCCCACATTGACTAGAGATTTAAGTGGAAAGCAACCATCACAGAAAAGATAATTGTCTCTAGCTTACCCTTGCATGTTTTCATGTGATTTGGATTGCGATGATCATGTGTTGTATGGGAGCAGGACAAGGATAGACTAGAGATAGCTGCTAGAGGCCACAAGAGATGCCTGGAGATGGATTTTTTTTTGTAGACTACCTTATAGTAGCATATTTTGTTGTATATAAATTGGTTGACGTTGGTTGCTTGATTAGCAACTTGTGTTATAAATATTTTTATTATTCTATTTTAGTATATATATTTCAGTAGTGTGTAGTATTTTTCGTAGTGTGACGGCCATGACGGGTCGTTACAAATTATTAGTTTTAAGATATTGTGTGAATCAAGTTTATGGAAGAAGAAAAAAAGTTTCATACCACTAAACTTTATTTTAATTTTGAAAATAACCATGAAAATTATTATTGTTTTTGTTATTATAAAACTTTGAAACAAATTGAGGATTTAAGTTAAAACATTAAAATCAACAATTAAATTTCTTTGCTTCATATGCTATTTACTCATTTATAAACTCCTTGTTTAATTTATAGATTATAATTTTGTGTTTTTGTCCATATTTATTATATATAATTATTAAAACATGTCTTCAAAAACAACTTTATGGAAATCTAAAATAGAAAAAAAATGTTATTGATATTGAATTAAAAAAAACGTGCTCTCAGTAATACATTCTTTTTGTCAAAATCCTACACACATCGACGGTGACAGACTTTAAGGCTTTGTTTGGATTTGAGGATGGAAAAGGGAGAGTGGAAAAGGAGAGATTTGAAGGGAAAGTGAGTGAAAAGTGAGGTTGTTTGGATTAAGGAAAAGTGAATGGAAAGTGTAGAAAAAATTTGTGAAAGTTTGTGAGTGAATTGATTGATGTGATAGATAAAAATAAATTTTTTAATTGATGATTTTGTAAGATTACTATTTTGCCCTTAGGTTAAAAAAAGTTTATAATTATTATAATTAAAAGATAAATATAAAAATTTTAACTAAAAAAATAAATATAAAATCTTAATTTAAAATAAGTTAATTTAAATATTTGTTTTAAATTTAATGATAGATAAAAATAAAAAATTTAATAGATGAATACGTAATTTACACTTTTACTCTTGGATTAAAAATGAGTATAATATTATTTATTGTAAATAATAATAATTACAATAAAATTATATTAATAGGTATAATTTATTAAAATAAATAAATAATGATAATAATAATAATTATTATTAGAAAAATAATAAGAATCATAATAAATAATAATAATACTAATTATAATAAATAATAATAATATTAATAATAATGATAATAATAATATTTATAATAATAAATAATAATAACAAAATATAATATGATAATTATATTTTTTAATATTATTTTATTAATATTTATGAAAGTGTTATTATTTTAATTTTATAAATATGTATTATTATTTTTTTTATTTCCACTTTTTGATGTCAATATTTAAATAATAGAATTTTCTTAATATAAAAAATATGTACAATAAAATTTTTGAAAGTTAATTAATAAATTAAAAAATTGATAAATTATTGACATAAATTAGAATGAAATGAAGATATATTTTTTAATTATACAAGTTAATTTTTACCAATTAAAAAATTAAGAAATTTTTAACATTACAAATTTTGGGTTACATTTTTAAGAAACTGGAACGGCCCGTTCTTAACTACGGTTTTTAGGCCAATTTACTAGTTGAGAACGGCCTGTTCCAGTTCAGGAACGGCCCGTTCCGGTTTGGGAACGACCCATTCTAAGCTATTAAAGTAGCCTTGTTTTTGTAGATTGGAACGGGCCGTTCCAATTTTGGAACGCCCGTTCTGGTCACGCCTGAAAGTGAAAAAATGCTACATAATCGATTATGTATGGCACATAATCGATTATGTGCCACCATAATCGATTATGTGCCATGCATAATCGATTATGCTAGCACATAATTGATTATGTGCCCTGCATAATCGATTATGCTGGCACATAATTGATTATGTACCCCTGCATAATCGATTATGTACGTAATTTTTATAGGGGCAATCACGTCTTTCAATCCTTGCCAACGTGACTTTCTTCGCTTTTCTTCATGGTTTATCGAAGAACCCTCCGTACACCTCTCCCGCTTTTCCCCGCTTTTCTTTCTTCGTATTTCACTGGAAACAAACACGTTCGATCTTCGCCTTTCCTTCGTCGTGAATAGTAAATCAGTGGAAGCAAACATGGGCTAAGTGTGACTGGGGGAGCTATAACTGTCCAAACTTTCCCAAATTTTCTTATATATATATATTAATATTATATTTGTATATTATTATATTATTAATTGTAATAAAATTAAAAAAAAATAAGTAAAAAGGAGAAATTTTTTTATTTTTTAATTAATAAAAAATTTAATTTATAATTTTATATATATATAAAATAATTTGGCACCTCCAAACTTTTTATCTAAGTTTTACCACTGCACATCGATAGTTTAAATTAAAACTAAATATTTAAAAGAAAGAATAGGCAAATAAGAATGATGAATAAGGTATTTTAGTTAAAAATAATGAAAATGAAATAAAAATAAAGATGTTCATTACAAAAAAAAATTAAATATTTTTATAATGTACATATCATAAAAATGAATTTATATATCCACCCATTTATTGGAGCAACTCACCTAATCTATTATATTAATTATTACATATTTGTGATTAAAAAAAACATAAAATAACTTTTAGAAGTGACTGTTGACATGAATGACTAAATATTTATCTTAAAATAGATATGTTAATTGTGAATAATCTTAAAAATAATTTTGGTAATTATTTTAATGGATAAGAGCAAGATAAGAGTTGACTTGTTATTTAAAGAATTTTTTAATAAATAAAAAATAAAATTTATAAAAATTATGATTTTCAATGAATTTGCACTAATAACAGAAAATATATTAAAAAAGTGTGTTAGAGTGATTCTTGGCATAATTTCTCCTTCAATTATATTCGGATTAAGAAATTCAGATTGGTTTAGTGCAGGACAACATAGCCACTTTTCTCTTTCGGCTAGGACTCGGCTTTAGCAAGTAACTTTTTGCATGGTAAATGCAGTTTATAGATTATCATTGATTCCTCAGAATTTCGATCCACTGAATGTGGTATCTCAGGAGTCAGGACAAATGAAAAAGGGCAATTCCCTACCACTTTATTAGCAGAATATCGTATTAGTAAGTAATATTTGACATTTTAAAGTTTTAGAAACTAACATGACGTATTTTTACTTCCAATATTATTCCACTTAAGATCATCACAGACAAAAATACCAAACTGCCACCATTGGCTATCAGTGGCACAAGGAATTGAGAAACCCTGACCCGAATTAGTGCCGTAATTTGGGCTGCCAAAGAAAGTCGACATAGGCAGTAGTGTACTGAAGACTTCTAATCGAGTGGAAGCAAAGCAGAAACATGTTTTTTCAACTTCAGAGTGATAGGCGGTTACAGATATATATACAACATATTGAATACTAACTCTGAATTTCTGGTTAAAAAAAAGGCATTTCTTTTTGTGCAAGTTTTATTTAGGGGTATCAAAATTTTCTGTGATTAGAATCACATAAATGATGACATGTGTTAATTTTGTCAGAATTTTTATTTTTTAAGAATGTTTTAATACCATGATAAGCTTCTCTCGAACACATATTTAAATAGGTCGAGGACTATTATTTAAAAGGTTATAAATTAATGAGAGTTAAATAACAAATATTAAAACATTCTTAAAAAATAAAAGTTCTGACAAAATTAACACATGTCATCGTTTATGTGGTCCTAATCACAGAGATTTTTGGTACTCCCTAAACAAAACTTTCACCAAAAGAAATACCTAAAAAAATCATTAAACATTTTATATGTAACGTATGATATCACTAATGTATGTTCACTATTTTTTTAATGAAACATTCTATCTATTATTCATTCTTTATCTATTATTTTATAACTAGCGTTCTTAGATACTCTTTAACAGGATTCATATTATAATTAATTTGTAGACAAAGCTTATCTATTTACCTTCAGAACTGCATTCATGTGTTTTTTGAGACATTAAATTCTGTCGGCCCCATGCTTCTTGTCTTCTTTGCTAATATTTACATTATAATAACTAATGCTGAGATTATAATCGACTATTCATTTGCTCACTTGAATTTAGCAATTAGCACCTCATATAGATTATAGGTATCAGTATTAAATATTAATAGCATCCCTTGGCATAATTCATTTTTGAGACTGAAACCAAATGAAATTATTTCGTTCAGTAATGTTAATAACTTGTTGGGTTGGTTACTCGAACATTTGTAGGACTTGATCATATTTTGCATAGATTACTATTTATATACTACATGCGTAACGTTTGCGAATGTTTAGTAATAAAACAATGATAGATGCATACATAATTATCAAGTCTCAAGAACTCAAATTTGAGACCCTTGTTAAACTAGAACAACCATCTACCGGTAGTTACAACTTACCAGAGATTATTATTATATCTCTATATATATACATACCCAAAGTTTGAATCCAAGACCTTATTAAGGGAAATCAGAGGTGTTCAACTTTAAATTTGTTGATCTAGCTTTAGCATATGTGTGTATATATAATTAAAAAAGTTAGAATAAGAAAATCTGGGGTCAAAAGAAAATGGCAGTTATGGGAAGAACATGGGAGGGTTATCGACTACCCACTAATCTGATTTCTCGTTATTCCGTTTCGGCTCTTTTCAGAACAGTCATATGCAGACTCCACATTCTTAAAGGAAGGCCAATGCTATGAGTTATTTGTCGTTTCCCACTCCGAAAGTGTATAAAAAATTGGTAACGTGAAGATGAAACTTTAGCAGACCTTCCACTATGATTTCTTATTATATATATATAGTAACCTAAGCTTTTCGCTTCTGCATGCACTCCAAAGGCCAAACTGACTTAAACTTATTGCAACTTGTGTTCTAGTGCTCATAGTGGTCACTTTCTACCGCAAAATTCAGTGTCTGATTAGTCAACAATTAGAAAGTATTGATTTCATTCTCCTAGTTGTTGGCACTGACTAAGCCAATTGGTCCCAGGTTTTCTAAGTTTTAGAGACTAGACAGTGATAGATTCCTTCTCTTGGTTTCTTTTGCTTCAACTAGTTTTCTTTCATTTCTTTTTCAATCCCTGGTAGAAAATGTTCAGAGTGAAGCATTCTCATATTTTGCCACTTGCATTCTGTATATTTTTCCTTACTTTGTTTCTTCTGGTCCAAGCTAGGCATCATTCTCATACAAAACACAAGCACTCACATTCTCATAAATCTTCTAAACCTCCAAAACAAGCACCTCCTAGCCCTCCTCACAATGAGAACCATAACAATGCCTCTTGCATTTTTGATGTAACAAAATTTGGAGCAATAGGAGACGGAAAAACAGATGACACAGAGTCTTTCAAGATGGCATGGGACACTGCCTGCCAAAGTGAATCATCAGTTAATGTTATCCTTATACCCCAAGGTTTCTCTTTCCTCATTCACTCCACTATCTTCACTGGCCCTTGTCAAGGTGGCATGGTGTTGAAGGTAATGTATAATTATTTTGCAACATTTGGTTATTAACTTTTTACAATTTTTTAAGGGTAAAGTTCATTAATGGACCTAATTTTCAATTATATGGATTAGGTTGATGGCACTCTTATGCCCCCTGATGGACCTGAATCTTGGCCAAAGAACAATAGCAGGCACCAATGGTTGGTCTTTTATAGAATCAATGGAATGTCACTGGATGGAGGTGGTTTAATAGATGGCAGAGGAGAAAAATGGTGGGACCTTCCTTGTAAGCCACACAAGGTACTGAAGAATTTGAATTATATAAGAATATTTTAAGGATAAAATATGTCTTAATTTCCTCAATTTTGGTCAAAATTTGTCTTAGTCTCTACACTATAAAAAGAATGACTTTTGATCCTTGTATTTTTTTATAATTAGTGAATTTTGTTCCTCACCTGATAGAAGGACAAATTCACCCATGATGAAAAAAATACAATGATCAAAATCAGTTTTTTGAAGCATAGAAATTAAAACCAATTTTAACTGAAAATTAAGGGACTTGAGACACATTTTATCATTTTTGTAAAACAATTTAGGTGCTTCAAACAGTCACTGACACCAAGTACCCTACAATAAATGCCTCAGGGACCTCATGGGACAACACAGCCAGGACCATGTGATAGCCCAATTGTGAGCTTTCAAAGCCTTTCTTCTGTTTACATCATCTATTTGTGTTACTGCATTGTGATTGAACATAATTCTACATGGTGCAGGCCATAAGGTTTTTTATGAGTTCCAACTTGACTGTGCAAGGACTTAGGATAAAAAACAGTCCCCAGTTCCATTTCAGATTTGATGGCTGCAGAGACGTGCATATTGAATCAATCTACATAACAGCTCCGAGACAAAGCCCCAACACTGATGGGATTCACATAGAAAATACAAATGACGTGAAAATATACAATTCTGTTATTTCTAATGGTTAGGCACTTGAAATTCTTCTAATTCTCCGCACCTATTGCATCAAAAATCATTATTAATGTTTGTAGCTGAATTATCTTTTATAGGTGATGACTGTGTATCTATTGGATCCGGCTGCTATGATGTAGATATAAAGAATATTACATGTGGACCTGGCCATGGAATTAGGTAACCTATTGTTTGCTTTCAAGAGAAGTTTTAATCTATTCATTTATTGCATCAAAAACCATTGATAGAGGACGTTTGATAACTAGAAAAATATGCTTTCTATTTTGCAATTATTAAAAGAACATTAATTGAAAATATAAAAGAAAAAAACATAAAATAAACCAAATCTCCCTCTTAACTTTTTGCTTTAGTCCACTGTTTTAATTTTTTAATGTAGAATTGAAGAGACAATGATGGCACTCTGGATTACTTAGGCACAAGGATTCTAACACTAAGTCTTAAAATTAACCATCCCAAAAGCTCAAGCATTTAAACTTTTACAATATTGCTAACAGTTATCTTGTTGACTCATTCAGCATCGGTAGTTTGGGAAATCACAACTCTCGAGCTTGTGTTTCAAACATATTGGTGAGAGACTCACTCATAAAAGTGTCAGATAATGGGGTTAGGATCAAGACATGGCAAGGTGGATCAGGATCAGTATCTGGAGTGACATTCAGCAACATCCACATGGTTAGTGTAAGAAATCCAATCATAATTGACCAGTTCTACTGCCTCACTAAGGAATGCACCAACAAGACCTCTGCAGTACATGTATCAAACATTATCTACACAAACATAAAGGGAACATATGATATAAGTAGCTCTCCAATGCGTTTTGCATGTAGTGACTCTGTCCCATGCACCAACTTAACACTCTCAGATATTGAGCTTCTTCCAGCTCAAGGATACATAGTGAATGACCCTTTCTGTTGGAATGCTTATGGAGATTTGGAGACACTAACCATTCCACCAGTCTCTTGTTTGTTGGAGGGCAGTCCTCAGTCTGTGTTAGAGCGTGACATAACTCCTTGCTGACACACTAGATTCTGTAGAGCAAAAAATGTGCGCATGCATGTATATAATTGTTTATTTGGGAAGTGACTAGGGCCATTAGGGAATACGGCAGCATGATGTTGAATATTATGTTATGATTGTTGAGGAGTTGAGTTTTTTATACTCCTACCCAATTGTAAACTATATATGTGGCGTGATTATCCATGATTGAAATTGACGTTTGAACTTGATTGCTTAATTCATTGCTTCTATCTTAATAATAAGGGCTCGGATTTGCGACCCCCACTACTCCGACACAAGTGTCATGGCTAGCTATATCATTTGAAACACGTATCCCATCGGCTTTACGTTAAGCACAAGGACTTTCAAGTGCGTACTCAATAGTCTTTCCTAGATTACGCTAAAAACAAATATTGGTTAGGTGTTATATTTTTAATATACATGTTGCATGTCTATAATACACTATATGACTATACCAACACACAATTTGGTTATAGTATAAAAATTGTTTTTGTCCTATGGGCCATGATGTATATGGAAGATTTGTAAGTGAGAGAAGTCCTCCATTAGATTGGACCATCAAAAGGATCCTTCTAAGGTTAATGTTAGATGAGTGTTAAGTTCACTTATATTTTTCATTGGAGATATCCCCATTATGATATTTTCTAACTTTGTGTATATGATTCATCACAAAAATATATATATATATATATATTAACAATTTAGTTTCTATTAGATAAAAGGATATCTATGACTTATTTTTTAATTTTTCCGTTATATATATGTAATTTTTTGTGTAGGGTGATGAAACAGAACAATAGGTTCTTATATTCTTACATTAAGCAATTGAAATTCATGAGAGTCAAGTGGTCATAAATAATTCCCTAGTCATTCCTCCCATATAATTCACAATATATTGCGTGAAAAGTTCTGTAACATAAGAAATTAGGCATCAGAGATTTGGTTATACTAATATTACAATCATCAATAAACTGTTAAGTGGTGGAGGGTGTTGAATAGCTTTATATATCTGACAGATCCAGAATCCCCATTTTTCATATACCATTATGTCCATTTGGACCTCCTAGGAAAAAACACTGAAGTTGAATTGTTTATTGATGATACCACACTATTTAAGCAAACCAAGTCTGGTATTTGACGAATTTACTGTTTCTTTTAATAGAACTTAATGCTTTAACAGATGCACTGAACTTTTGTCTCCCACGGAAAATAATATAATCTGGTCCAGGTCCTCCATATGAATCAGTTTACTATATAAATCAGAAACATGAAGAGATTCCAACACTCCCTTGGCATTTGTGTCTTCATGACGATGACCGACAAGAGTGTAAATTAACAAAAATTAAAGAATACTTAAATATGGAGGGTGTTCGGAAATGAAAGGAAAAGAGTATGATATGATAATAACATGGTAGTGAGTGAGCGTGAGTGATTCATTGCATGCCCAGTGGCCACGCTAATCATATGTCATACTATATTAAGGACAATGAAGAAAGTAAAATTATATATGTATGTTTAACAAACTACACTTTGTCATTTTCTTTGACTATAAAATATATTCTCTCCTCCTCCAAAAAATACATGTGTTATAATTTAAACCATTTAATGTAAACCAACCTTTTAAAAGTTTTTTTTCCCTCTCTTTTTGCAACTCTTAGGAATTTTAGCTAACTATAATTTTGAATTTTCACTGTCTTTGGGATCGTTAGAATATGAAATTGCAACGACCATAAAATTAAACTCGCGTGATTGGTGTCAAATTAAGTTAAATCGATTGAAATGTCTCAGTTTAACTAATATAGAAATATTCTCAATAAATACTTCAAATCTACCAATTGGCTTTCTCTCACGAATAAATTACACGTTAAATATATCAATTGGAGGAGGATTTTCCTCGTCCACGCTTCTATTTTTTTTTTTTTTTAATATATAATCAAGTTTGATATTAAAAAAATTATAATAATATTCATACATTATACTCAACCAATTAAACTACATCTTCTGATTGAATAAAGTTCGATTCATTTAAGATGCAAGTAATTTCTAGTTACACTTTTATCTTTTCTTGCTTTTAAATATACAATTTTCTTGTTTTAATAGATGAAAATACACCATACTTTTCACCATTCTGATTTTTATTTTTATAAAAAAATAATAATTTATATTAAATAAAAATTATCAGAAAATCAATTATTAATATATTCGTGCATTTTTTTTGACAAAAAAATATATATGTTACTAAATTATTTGATTTTTATATTTTTTTTATCAAAATTAAATTTCTTTCTCCATTGAACATCAATATTGGCAGCCTTTTATATACTATTAATGACAAATTTGGTTAATTTTTTCCCCTCTCTCCTAATTTTTTGATTTTTCATAAATTTTAACTAATAAGAACGAGTATATATATTAAGATGAGAGTGTTTTTAACACTTATTGGTTCTCATGCATTTAATTTTAACCATCTCATATACAATATGCATTACATTTTCTAAAACATCCATAATCACATGTATTATAGATATTGCTTTTATTTATCATCTTAAGAGTATTTTGGATTAAAAATATTAAATAAGGTTGATTTTGTTGGAATTTATTTATATTTAATTAAAAAAAATTAAATAGTTTTTACTTATGTATAGGTTTAGAGGAGTATTATACTAATTTTTGGTAACTAGTATTGTATTATACTAATTAAATGAATGTAAGTATAAATATGCAAAAGTTCAGAAATTCATACAATTAAGTAATGATGTTAATGTTTAGGTTCCCAACTATCCAAATAAAATGCATTTAAATAAAATTTGAATAACAATCGAACAAAACATTATAAATCTATATGGAATCTAATACTATTGGGCTAACCTTAAAGAGAATCAAAATCAAAGTTTGAATCAATAGGATGTTGTTCCGTTATTTGAACATGTACATGAATTATTATTACCTCGCTGAAAACCGTCTTCTCCTAAGGGCGTCTCTATATATTTGGTTCCAAGTTTTGTTCACAAAAATCAGATACACATGCAACGCATCTAGCCCAAACTATACTCTGAAAAGCCTTCCAAGAAAAAACATAGGAGGCAACTATAAAATAATTTTATATTGGTGATTGCAAATTATTCATATCCCTCACAACTAACCTAATTTTATTGGCTCCAGGTAACTGTACGTAACATTGTTGAAGGTCTTATGGAGGGAGATGATGCAGTAACTCCTGAATGATTAATGGAAGGACGTGACATGAATATGTATGGAATAAAGTCGAAACTCCAAAGTTAACGAAAACTGTCAAAATATAATTTATAGATTCAATAATATTTTTATATTATGAATTTAACTATAAACTATTTTATAAATTTAAATGATTATTTATTATAAATTTTAGCCCATGTAAATAATATTTATCTTATGCAACATACAAAAACTAAAATGCTACTCTACTATAATTATGTAAGTTCTTAACTAATTACAATCATAAAAAAATAAAAAATAAAAATTCATCGTCACAAACAAAGCAGTGAGTGGTGCTAATTGTTGTAAAATTATAAGTTGAGAAAGGCCATCCATAACATAGTTAAAGTGGAGCAAGTATAAAAATGAATCAATTTGAATAACTTGTAACAATTTTATCACCTCGAAGTAAATTATATTTGGTCGGTGTGATGTGACAACTTTTTCTCCTAAACTGTAACTATCTATCATTGAAAACGAATTATCTTTGAGTTGAGGATATTTTTTAAATTGTGAAGCTAATTATTTATTTTAGAAAAAAATATCATGTACGAACATAAGATTCGCTTAGAATACATTATTGAGGTGAATTCAAGAGTAAGGTGACTCAAGCCACTACTTTAGGTCTCTAAAAAGTAGTTATTTAATATCAACATTTGTACGATTTTTATTATTAGTTACAACCATTGGATGAGTTTAAAAGAAAATATCCAAAAATGTAAAGGTGAAAAGAGAGACTTTGATAGACCATGGGCCAAGGGCCCAGTTACTAGAACTATTGCTAGAAGAATACAAGAAGAGTTGGACCTCTTGAAGACTAGTGGGCTTTTCAAGCTCAAGATATTCTTCACTTGGACTACTCTATCATAAAGAGAAGGCCTAGATCTACTTGTGAATATTGTATAATTTGTACATAGTCTCTTGTATAGGTTATTTTTGCCTTTGTATTTGTGAGGCACTTTACTTGCTTTTTCTAGTGTTTGTATATTGATTTTAGGGTAGGCTACTTGGAGAGTTTAACTCCATTTAACCTCCCTAATTGATACATTCATTTTATATTTTTTCAGTAGGGAAAAACGGGTGGCTTTTAGCAATGCTTGAGGGTGTGACTAGTAAATGGGCCAGAACTGGGCCTAGGCAAAATTTTGCATATTAGACTCATTTTGCTCCTAATTTTTCATAGATTTGATTTAGCTAGGTCTCATCATCATATGATGAACCTAACTAAACAAAATCAAATATTTTTGAAATAAATCATGGAGCATTTTGGAGCCTTAGCTGCCTAGCCTTCACCTTTGTTCATGGCCGAAATTTGCTAGCTTCTCCTTCAAGCTTTGAAGCTTGCCTTCACCTTTGTTCTTGGCCGAAATTTGCTAGCTTGCCTTCACCTTTGTTCTTGACCGAAATTTGCTAGCTTCTCCTTCAAGCTTTGAAGCTTGTCTTCCAAGTTTCTAAACCTTAGTAGATTAGGCTGACTTTACCATGGTTCTTAAGTAAACCATGGTCAAGGTTAGCTTCTCCTACAAGTTTTAGAAACCATGGATGATTAGCTACACCTTACCATGGTTCCTAGTGAACCATGGTTAAGGTTGGCTTACACTAGAAGCTACCTCTCCCTATATATTTGTATTTTCTTCACTTGTAATCATTTTTGAACATTTGAGAAATAAAACTTCAGATTTCTCTCTCAAGAGTTTCTCCCAAAATCGAAGAGAGTCTTCTCTCTAAGGTTCTCACCAAAGGTTTTCAACATTTGCCTTGGTTCCTCAAGCTTCCTTCACAAGCTAAGGAGTAACCGAACCACTTCAAGTATTTCTACTCCATTGAAGCTTGCCTCAAGGAGTTTCGGACTTCATCTCAAAGCATCCTCAAGAGTTTCTTCGGTCTTTGCATGGAGAACTTGAAGAATCAACATTCTTCTCCAAGTAGCTCCATTAGACTCTTGGATTTAGAAAGAGAGAAA